TACTCTCTTTCATTATAATAAATAATCACTTCATTCTTCACATCTGATTCCAGGTCATGAAATTTATGAAAAACTCAATACAAACATTGAGATGAACTATGAAATAATTATTAACAGATTGCATTGCAGATTACTGAAGAGTCATCTCTTTGCTACAATCACTGCAACTTTATTCAGAAACATTCATCATGAACTGATCATAACTCTGAAGAAATTTCCTGATATCTGAAGTCATCAGAATGCAGATAATAAAAGAAAAATAATCAGAAAATTACTACTGAGCTGATAAGTTGCTCTATCAGATAATGATTTTTGATAATACTAACTTTCTAATTTGAAGAAAATCATATGAGAACAATTCTGTATCAGTACTCTGATTTCACAACTCTTATCTGATAACTTCTGTGAATAATTACTTTGTATATATATATCTCTGAATCTTTCTCTTTGATCAATTAAAAACCCTGAATTCTGAACACTTCTTCAAATACTTAATTCAAATCTTCATATTTCACATCAATTCTGTCTTCAGTTCAATCTCAAGATACACTACAAAGTCAATATATAATATCTAGAATCAGAGTTGAAGAATCATTGAAGAGTGTCTCTCACAGTGAATATATGAACTAGTACAAATAATCTTACATTTATGAGAGTTACATGTTATTACATTGATGAGAACTGAACTTATTGAGAGATATTAATTGAATTTGAATCATTGATCAGTAGTCATACTGAGAATTATATAGCAGAGATATTAATAACTGTGATTAAAAATGACTATTAAGATATTAGTCTCAGTCTTCTTACAATTATAACTGATAATACTGTGAATAACTACACTATGATGAAGAGCTTGAAGCAAAAATTGACTTTGTATTTCTAGAATAATAAACAAGATTATATCCTCTATATTGCTCATGTGATTCAACTTATGATACAAACACTGATAAAGAATCTTAACATCAAGATGAAGAATAATAAGATGACTGATTCTTGAGATGAGAATGAGATGAAAGTGATTACTCAAGTAACTTTTATATTCACTTTACAAAAGATAATGTTTTTTGATAACACTTTTTGATATTGCTTTTTAATAATACTTTTTGATAATGCTACTGTTAATTTTGAATAGATTGACTAATAATTTAAATATTATAGATTTAAAACATTGCTAATATAATTTGTATCTCTTCTAAATAATAATAATGATTTCATGATATTCAATAAACAAACAAATCAGTCATATCACTGAATATAATACAGAATATTAGAACACAGTGAAGTTCAATATATAAGATAACTGTTCAGACTCTTTGATTACATCAGATGATTGATCATTAGATGTAACACTCTGATTGAGAAAAGATTCAGATATTGAAACTTTCTGATATGAAGTGAACTCAGTTGAAATATGTGATTAATTTACTGTTTCAGTTTTATAAGATAATAAAGACAGTCTCAATCACTTATACATCAATACTGCAGTTAGTCTGATGAGTGTATAACAGTTTATTTACTCATCTTGAGAAGCAGTTGAATCACTCAAAAAGAAATTCAGTCTGGGATGATGCTATAGTGCAGGCTATTATTACTGTAAGAAATAAACTAGCATATTACTACAGTAAAATGAAACAATCTTTTACAGAGTACTATGCTATAGCAGCTCTACTAGATCTCTTCTGTCAAGTTAATATCTACACTTCTCAAGATTGAACAGAGAAGAAATGAGACTCATATGTTAAATTAGTTCAAGACTACTACAATGTCAACTATCAGAGATTTGAATGAGCAGATGTTTGAGATGTGAAGACAGTGAAATACAATTCTCTAGTAAGTAATGATCTTTGATAATACTTTATATCATATAGAACTATAATACTAACTTTGAAACAGAACTTACATACATTGATTGCAACTGAAAATCAGGTAAAACTACATACTTATAAAACTGAATTTAACTGCTATCTTCAAGATGATCTGATGAATTTACATGTCAAATCAATTCTAGAGTTATGAAAAATTATTAAGAGTATATATTCAACTGTTGCACTGATGATGTGTGATATTCTGACAATTTCATTGACAGAGGTGAGAATGAAGTGAAAGTTCAACTCAAGTTAAGATATTTATCACTATTACTGAGAACAATTATAAGAAGAAATAATCAAGAAACTCATGATTATAAAACATGGAATTATCAGACAGTTTAATACCTCTGATCACAGTATATCAGAGAAGTGTAGTTTTCATGAGAAAGTGAAGAATAAACTTACACAAGAATGTATTTAGTTGTTTCATGAGTGTTATTAATAATCATTATCAAATTCTGATTATATAAGCAATCACTGAATGAACTGAATGAGACTGATTTTAATCTTCAGTCTCAGTTTCATTCTGATTTTGAAAGAATGATCATCTTTCACAGTTTATCCTGAAAAATTACTTCTATTTCACTGTTTTTGAATTAAATCTGGTCATTTTTCACACCATTTCTCTCAGAAATGGTTCATTTTCAGATTTTTTTGAGGCTTGGTTCTGATGGGACTCACGCCAAGAAATGTATGAGACCAGACCAAATGGGATCAAATGTGAAATTCATGATCCCACCGGCCAGTCTACTCTGTACTGCTTAAGTATCTAGACTTCTTATCAGAGCTGATACAATGTCTTTCTATGAGATAATACTTATAGAGAGATAGAAGTTATTATTACAGATATAATAGAAATAACAGAAGTGAGAGAAGAATTAAATATATAAGATTTCTTTCTTCTTCAGCTGCTTAGTATAGTGTAGATAAGTAGTAATACTGATCAGAGACTGCACTGAAGCCTTCTCACAGAGAGAAGATAAAGAAACTGCAAAACTCTACAGATTTAACTCAGCAGCATTCTAAGCAGGGCTTAGATATGCTGCAGAAGAGAAACTACAGATTGAGCTTCTCAGAGTCACTGTCTTCAGAATCAAGCTCTCTCTGAGATTCTCTCTGAATAATTACACAGGGTCATACATCACTGTGTTGATTGAGAAGGAAGGCGGTGTTGCAATGATGATGAGAAGGACAGAGAAAGAACTGAACACAGACAAATCAATCAGCAGAAGAGATGACATCTCACTGCAAGGTATGATGACTACTGCCGCGGCTGCAAGAGATGTAGGAGAAGGAGGAGATGTGGTAATGAGAGCAGTGCTCCCGCGGCTCATTGACACCGCCGCCTTCACCTTCAACCTGGCTTTCTTGATAGTCATGAAGGCCGCAGCTGCATCATGAAGACATTTATTACTCACTAGAAAATGTCAGAATAAGTCTCTTATTATCTCTCAAGAATGATGCTTTCATACACTCACTATTACAGATGAGAGAGAGAAGAGAAAAATGTATCACAGAGAGAGAAGATCTTTTTGAAAAATTCTGCTACTACTGTTAGCTTTATTTCTAAAATATATTACTTTTACAGAGAATTTTATATATAGAATAAAATATATTAAGAGATCTGTAAGTCACTTATTAACTACATTTTTCACATTTTAAATCAATATATAAGAAACTCACTTATCATATATTTGATTTAAATGAAGATGAAAAAAGAAAGATCTATACAGTTAGTAGAAAAACTCATCTATTTCTTTATACAGTATATATACTATTAATTGATTAGTAACTGTTACTATATAATAAAGATAATTTCTAATTTAGTAATTTTAAGAGTATAGAGACTATGCTTTTAAAGAGAAGAGTATTATTATACTCTTACGCTATATTAAAACTCTGTTATAATTTCACATAGCTTATTACTTTTATATAAATAATTTCCTTATCTGAATTAGTTTTCAATCACTCTATAATATTATTCAGATATATTATAGAAAGATTTAATTAATAAATATAAGAACTCTGCTTTTATATAAGATCAGCAGATTACTTTTTCTTAATAATGAGATATCACTGAGATATCACTCTGACTATTCTTACTCATGAAATAAGAGAAGATATTCACTTATTATCTATATAGAATAACTAGATGCTGACTTCTTATAAAAGAAGTTAGTGATTTGTTTTTCTTCTACTGAAATATATACAAGAGTTACTACATATCTTATACAATCTTCTTAGTATACTAAGTACTATATCTGTGATATTCTTACAATAACTCTGTAGTCTATAAGCTCACTATTTAAGCAAGATAGTCAAGCTCACTTATATAGCTTCTTAAACAACTACTTCTACATGATACTGCTAACTAGTCACTGCTTCAGTTCTGTTATATTATAAATATATCTATGAGATTCACTCTTTATTATTTGAATAATTGTATTATATACTTTATCTGATGTTATACTTTCTTATATTTTAATTCTTTTTTAGATTCTTTCACAATCTGATAATTCAGATACTTGTGAGTGTATATCTGAATATTCTTGATCATGCTTAGTCAGTATACTCTTGATTTGAGTATACTCATGAGTTCAGAGCTTTCTAAGTGACTGAATTTCTTGTATATATAAGGTATTAAGTCATGTTTAAATAAGAGTTGTAGATAGAGAGCTTCTACATATTCTAGATCATAGTAAAGTACAACATTGTTTTTTAATTTTCTCAGCTTGAAGTTCAGAAGCATCTCTTCTACTACTCTTATAAGATACTTATTATCTAATATCTTGTCATTCTTTAAGTAAGAGATCATAACATTCACTTATTCTGATTTCTTCTCTCAGTGTGTTTAATATAAACTTCTCTTATATCTGATTCACAGAACTCTTACTTATAAAATCAGATCTGTAACTGATTGTATCAGATATCACAGTATCTGATTTCTTTCAGTATTTGATATGAAGATTGTATACTTAGAACTTCAAGATTTAATATACTAAGTATTTGAAAGATTTTATTATTGACTGTAGATAGATAAGGCTTTCATAATCTGTGATTACTGTTATTATATATCTGTTATCAATATATCTATTTTATAATATCAGTGCATGCTTAATTACTAGTAATTTCTTTTCATACACTGAATAATTGAGCTCAGTGTCTGATAGTTTTCTATTATTATATATCACTGAGTGCAGCTTGCTGTTCTTGCTTATCTGTAGAAGAGCATCTCTGATAGCTCATTTAAATATATCTTATTATTATTCTTCAATTATAGATGTATGCAGTCAGAGACTATGACATCTATCTAAGAACTTTTAGTTCTCAGAGTTTTTTCTATATCTGTAAAGTTAACTGTTATACATTCATCAATTTCAGATATATAAAATCAGAAAATTTCAGCTTAGAATATAAAAACTGTTTATAAATTACAGTGTGTTAACATCTTCTGATACTTTGAAATCATTTGACAGTATTATAACAAAGAAAAAGAGAACACAGTCTTAAAGATAGAGATATTAAATAGATAGATAGAAAGAAATTGAAAGAAAAAGATAAAGTAAAGAAAGACTGTAATAAAATAAATTATTAAAAGATAGTATATAGCTATTTTAACAGACTATATCTGATTGATTTTCTTCTCTTCATATTCAGATAATTCTGAATTTAGTCATTTTCTTATAGCTGCTTGAGTTTCTGATAGAAAGTCTATTAAGTATTTAATTTCTGTCTCAGTTAAGAATAAGAATCTTATATTTAATTAATTTAGATTATACTTCTCTTTCAATCTGACTCTGAAACTATTATATAATACACAGTGTATTATAATATACTCAGAATTCTCATTTATATTGTAGAATAAGTATTCTATTAAGTTAAATCTATCATCAAATCTTTATATATAAGATTTGAAATAGTCATATTCTAGTTTCAGCTGTATTATAGATGAGAATATTTTCTTTTTATATTTAATTAAACAAGATTTTTATTTAAATTTTATTTCAAATCTTAAATAATATATACTCTTCTTTTATTTCTATCAGTTTTCATTTCACTTATCTAAATAAGATTCTTTTATTTTTCTCTTTATAAAAGATCAGAATATAATTTTTTAAATAGATCTACTTAATTCTGCACTCTTTTTTACAGCTGAATCAGTCAATTTATTATCATGAATATTCATATAAGTAGAAATTCAGTGTAGATTAATTTTTAGCTTTAATATTCTTCTCTTTTAAATTTTTAAAACAGAGTTTAAGATCAGTTTAAGATTTATTTAATTATTATAAATCTAACTATTTCTAAGTCTTTTTAAAGTAACTTAACTATTAGAGAATATTTATATCTCTTTCAAATAATTTTCTTTTTTATAAGATTTTATTTCAATGAGTTTGAAAGCTTTCACTATTATAAATAGTTTAGTATCAAAGATTTCATATTCACAGTCTAGATTTCAGAAATTTGAGATAAAATTGATATTATCTTCAGTATAAGTAATATCTGTATCTAATCTATTCAAGTTCTTATTTTTTAAGTCATCTGAATAAATCAGAATAGAGTCTTTTATATTGATTATAGAAATTCTCTTCAAATACTGTTTATATTCTTTCTCTTTTAATAGTTCACTTATTTATAAGTCTATAAGAGATTCAAGCTTTTCTCTTCAGAGAGATAACTTCTTATAATCAACTTTTTTAATATTTAAAGAAGAAAATTGATTTTTAATCAGAGAGTATAGTCTGTATAATTGAGAAGACATTTTCTTTGAAGAATTATTTTCATTTCAATCAAGAAATCTATTTCAATTCAGTTCATTTTCAGAGTTAATTAATGAAAATGCAGAGAAGACTCTTTCTCTGATTATATAATTTAAGCTCATCTTTACAACTCTCAGAGCATAGTTTATACAGATCTTTTCAAATCTAATAGCAGAAGAAGAAATTAAAGCTTCAATTTTCATTGCTTTAGTAGAAGATGATTTGAATACTCTCAGAATTCTTCTCAAGACTCTGTTTTGCAGACTTTGAAAGAGTTCAGTGAAATTCCCTTGATTATTCCATCAAACTTGAACTTTATTTAAATATATCTATCTTAATGTAGAAAGGTTTATCATAATCTGATTAAATAAGTACTGAGAATATTGTTATATATTCTCTCAGTGTGAGAAAAGCCTCTTTATACACAGTATTTTAGATAATTGAATAAAACTTCTTCTTTTATAAATTTACATCTGTTTCTCTTAAGAGATCTGAGAGTGATGCAGATATTTATATAAAATTCTTGATGAATCTGCAGTAATATGAGACTAACTTAAGAAACTGTTATGTATAATGTATATTTCTCAACTGCAGTTAATTCACTATGATATTCAATTTCTCTGAGATAAGATGTATACAGTCATCACTCACTATATATTCTATAAACTTCAACTCTTTCATTTCAAATACATACTTTGTTAATTTGATATAGAGTTTATACTCTGTCAGAGTTATAAGCACTTTATTGAGATACTTCATATATTCATCATATAAGTTTGAAAAGACTAGAATATTATCAAGATATATAAGATATGAGATTTCATTCTGTTTATAAAGAATTGTATTCATCATCATTTGAAAGATAACAGATATATTTATTAGATTGAATGATATTATCAGAAATTTGAACTTCTCTTATTACATGTTAAATACAGTTTATGAGACTGATAGTTTATCTACACAGATCTGTCAGTATTCTGAGAGAAGATTGATTTTCAATAGATATCAGATATTTTCAACTGTATTCAACTGTTATTAAATCTGTGACAGTGAATATTCATTCTAATATAAGCTATAAATACTTATATTATACATATCTGTCACTCTACGCATCTTTTTT